ATATATATATAGTCGTACCTCTGTATAACAACATCCCTATAGAAACACTTCTCTATAAAAGCGAAATTTTTTCGAAACTAATTTTCATGTTATGTTATAATATATGTTCTCTATAACAACACTTCGCTATAACAGCAAAAAATATTCGGAACAAACGAAGTTGTTATAGAGAAATTTGATTGTATATATCGAGTGACTGTATAAGGGCATCCGATCCGGCTATATCACTTTCCTATATTTTTACTTTTGCTTTTTGCAAAACAAACCAACTTAGTGACTTTCTACTAATTATTAGTGAACCAGAATTCGAAGTTAGGAATTCAATTGACTTGGAGGAAAGTATCCGGAATCATCTGAATCATGTATTCTTACGTTCGCATCCTATTAAGTAGGGGTGTACATAGTCCGGGTTGATTCAAATTTTTCATTTAACAAATCAAATTAATTATCTCGAATTTTTAAATTTATATACCAAACCAAATCAACAATAGTCGGGTTTTTCAATCTCAGATTTTCTCAAATTTCTCAAATTTCTCGGATTTTTTTTGTGGTTCACTGTGAAGCATCTTACAGTAACATCAGACACAATAGAATATAACAAAAATAAGAATCCACAGATGAAGTAACAAGATCATCTATACTATTACAGTAGCTATCTCAATCTAAATATGAAAATTCTAGGCTAATTCAATCTAAACATGATCTCCAGTTAATCTTGAGATCATTGTTACAAATCATAAAATAAATTGAACACAAGATATCTTTACTAAGATCTTCCCAAAAGGTGTTCAAACTTGATAACACAATAGCAGCAGCTCAAAAGACCAAAGAATTTAGTCTTTGGTTCTTGAAACTTCATGGATCTCACCAAATTTCCAAAATCGAGCCTTAAATCTTCTGAAAAATAAATTAAAATTTTATAAAAGACTAACAGATGTGAATATTGACAAGATATACATAAATACAGTAGAATACTGCATAAAATACCCACTCAAAATCAAGGCGAAAGTCCATAGCAAAATCATATGAACTAATAAGCGGAGGAATATCGCAGATCATTCATGAATGCATAATCCTTTATATTCAAATGGTGGGAGAAAGCTAGTACTGAAGATAGAATGAATAAGTTTTAGCCTTTTAGGTGTAACTCTATATATATTCTTCTCCACTAATATCCTTAGCATCAAGATTGAGCAGTGAACATCGAATAGTTGAAAAAGTGATATCAAACTGCTCGACGAACAAAAGATATATTAAGTCTACATCTACTGAAAACTTAAGTTTCACAAAAAGATTTTTCGAAGCATACTGGTCTAAAAATACACTTTTATATATTATATCTGCCAAAGATAAAATCAGTATTCTCATAGAAAGCATTAGATTTGAAAAATACAGGGGAAGAATGCTATGAGAGATCGTATATTATGAAACTTTAATTGACATCTTAAGAAGGTTATGGAATTCTGACTCAATTTCAAATAGATATTTTTGTTATCAAGAGGAAGAGAAAAAGAGAGCTATGAATTTAATGGTAAGAGAAACTAATCTGGAACTATTCACCTTTTTAACAGATTAATTGGTTCTGAACTATTCACCTAAGAAAGGAGTGAAAACTAGAGTGTGTAATTGGTTCTGAAGATAATAAGTTCAAAAAATTAATACTAAAAAAGTATTTAGAAGAAAAGATTATGAAATAGGATAAAACTTAGACATAGAACAAAACTTAGAGGAGAAAATGAGCAATAAATGAAAGAAGTTTCAAGAAATTTTACCTGAAGAAAGAAGCTTCAACGACTTCAGATTTGGAATCTTCAATTTGGGGAAGATGAAGTTACGGTTTTTGATATGGGTGGGAAGAAGTTGGGATCTTTAATTTAGGGGGGAGATTATCCTGCTTTTGGCGGAAAAGTCGATGCCTTATTTTTTTATTTTATTTTATTTTATTTATTTATTTTTTTTTTTACATTTGTTAACTTCTGTTATTCTTTTTGGGCTATATTTGGCTTTCTAGAAGTATATGGAGTGGGCTAAAATTGTAAGCCCAAATATAATGTTAATAATAAAAAATAATGATAAATTAAAATAAATATATATAAATTATTTTATAATAAATATTTATTTTGTATAAAATAAATTTAAAAATTACATACATAAATATCGGGTTGGTTCGGTCTCGGTTTGACTTATTTTAGTTAATACCAAACCAAACCTATTATAGTCGGATTTTTTTTACATACCAAACCAAATCAAACCAAACCACTAGTCGGATTTTTTTCCGGTTTGACTCGGTTTGTCAGTTTGGTGCGATTTATCGGTTTGTTTTGTACACCCCTACTATTAAATAATAGTTTCAGATTTAAATTTGCCGAGTCATTTGATTAAGGAATGCTAAAAAAAGAGATAATACTTTCAAACCTTTATGGGTGTCCTAATACCATCATATACTTCTTAGGATTGATTTTTTCTGCACCCTTCTAAGCCAGCTCCCAGGCGCGTTGTGTCTAACTACAAATGAGCGCGTTTATTGCTATGATTTAATCGTGAAAATGAAAAAAAATAAAAAAGATTTTTGTCAGCAGTAATTACAACCCCCAACGGTAATATATTCATCTTTCCTCAAATTTAATACCCGACCCACCTTATTTCTTCTTCCACCATACCAACCTCACTAACCCTAATTTAATTTTACTACCAAATCAGCCACTACTGATGTTCAATATTCGATTTTTGAAGGCAAATTTAGTTAATTTTTGGTTATTTGAGCTAAATTCAGTCTTTTTCTACTTATTTTTTCCTATTTTTCTTGTGTTTTGAACTGCAGTTTTAGTATATAATGGGTTCGAAAAGGCTGAGTAGGCTTTGTACGGAAGAAGATGATCATGCATCTACTGAAGAAGGGCGATATAATCATGGATATTTGCTGCCATTGTTGACTTCTTGGACCCCTAGGAATCCTAGTAGAAGGTATTGGGCTTGTCCATACTATGGAGTTAGTTGATTTAATTTTCAAGATTAAATAAGTTAAGATATGAAGAAATAGAACTCTAAAATACCAATTTTGTTGTTATTCATGATAGGGTGCTAGAGCATGTGATTTTTGGTGTTGGAGGGATGGAGAAATTGACCCTAGATCAAAGTTTGGTATTCCTAAATTGAAAGAAGAGATTGAAAAACTTGAGAGCCACGTTGAAGTTTTTGAAAAACTGGACAATCCGATGACAACAAAGAAGGATGAACATGGGATTGATAAGATACACATTCAACTAGATTACTTGAAAACTGAAATGGAGAAGATGAAAGAAAGGGAGAAGAAATGGATGAGCAAAGTTGCTCGATCAAGGAAAATGGAGAAGGTTCTTTGGTTTATCATTTTATGTTGTTTAATTATCAGTGTTAGTACGAGGATGAATTGAAGTGTCCATAGGCTATTTGTTTCTCTTTTTGTTGAACCTTGTTGGTGTATGATACAAATCAATGTGGGTAAATCATTTTGTATTATGTACTATCTCTTTTTGGAATGAAGTTGGTACTTGTTTTGATTCTAAATTGTTTTGTTCAAGCATATTGAATCCTTGAAATGTATTAAAAGAAACTGAATATATAGTGACAACTCCTAATAGAAAGATAACATAAGTGCAGTCAATAATCACGGTTAAAATGCAGTCATTGTTGCTCCTTAATAATACCATTCGTTAGTCATACAATACAACTGCAAACACTAAAGATTGCATAATTACACCAGTCACAACAGCTAACTCAAAACATTGCAGTCACATCTGCCAATACAAAATATTACAGTCATAGCTGCTAATACAAAATATTGCAGTCACAGCTGCTAATACAAAATATTGCAGTCACAGCTGCTAATACACTGCCAAAGTACAGAAAATGTTCCTAAGGTTTTCAAGGTTGTGAGGATTGTATAGTGGAGCTTCCTTGACTTAACTGTGCAGCTCTTGACCTTGTCTGAATGACCTTTTTTTCTCTCATCTGATGGAGTTGTCTTTGTGTCACTGCTTCTTTTCCTTTCCACTTTATTCCAGTTGATGGTGTGTGCCCAATATCTCCAGTGACATCTGCTAAAGATATAATATTTCTGGGCCTACTTGAAGGCATTCCAGTCTGTTAGAGAAAGATAATATTTGTTAGTATAAACAAATAGTATCACTTTTTTGATATACAAAAGGTAATAAGAGGCCTTACATTAAGGATGGTGTAACCACTTTCTGTTTGAAGTACCCCCATTCCAACCACTCTTGGTCTTTTGCAGGGCCTTGTCTCATTGGTAGAACCTTTTGGTCTACCCCTTCCTCTTCCAGTTTTTGGTGTTGCACTTGCTCCCGCACTTGCTGCTGCATTTGCTCCTGCACTTGCTGTTGTATTTGTTGATGCATTTGCTGCTCCACTTGCTGTTATAGTTGAAGCTGCTGCCTTGGTCTTATGACACCCTTTCTTATTATGGCCTTTCTCATTACATGCTCTATATGTCATCTCCAGTCCCCTCCTAGACAATTTACCTGTCTTGTTTTCAGTTTGCTCTTTTCTTCTAACTTTCTTTGGCATCCCTGACATCTTTCTGACTGTTGGTGGAATAACAGATACATTCTATGAGTGTGGCCACATTGACATATTAAAGGCAGGCTGAATGAAATGGTTGTACACTTTCAAGTAAGTCTCTTTGGTATACCAGTGAGAAACAAAGTTAATTGGATCCAATTTTTTGAAGTGAAGGGCAGCTACTGCATGAGCACATGGTATGCCTTTTAGCGTCCAAGATCTGCAATTGCATGTCATGGTTTGTAAAGAAACCAAATATTTCAGATATTCAGTTTCTTTCACTTCATATCTTGTGTCTCCATTCCACATAATATCACACTTCATTGACTTGGATGTGTTGTCTTGTAAAACCTTCAATGTCGTTGGTGAGATATCACAGATCCAACCATTGGCATATTCTCTCAGTTGCCCAATACTCCTCATCATTTTCACTTTGATTTCATCAAGCATTGTTATAATTGTCTTGTGTCTTGGCTCTATTATCCAGGAGTTGAAGCTTTTAGCTATATTGTTGTCCACACTATCACAGTTGCTGAAGGAGTTGAAGTATACCTTTGACCACCTTTCTTTGTTATACCACAACAAGTCATTAATGATTCCTTTACTACCTAATCTTTCCATGAAGTCAAGATTCTTTTTCAATTCTGCCTCATAAGTACTTCTGGCACACTTCCAGAAATAATTTCTTCTTTTAATGCCTCTCCATTTCTTTGACCAATTAGCTAGGATATGTCTAGCACACATCCTATGTTCACAGTTTGGCAGTACTTCATCTATTGCTTGATACAATCCATACATAGAAGAACAGAAGAAAATGCAATAACAAATCAGTAAGATTTATGGAAGCAACAGAAGAAAATAAACACAAAGATAACATAAGAATAGAATAAAGAACATAATACAAACCTTCTGCATGTTTGTTATGAATGTGAAATTTGTCCCATCTCCAAGTTCAAGGTCATCATTCAACAACCTTAAAAATCAAGTCCAATTGGACTTATTTTCAACCTCAACCACTGCCCAAGCTAGAGGCAGCATCTGGTTGTTACCATCTTTACAGACAGCAACAAGCAATTGCCCCTTGTAAATACCCTTTAAGAAGCATCCATCCAATCCAATACAGGGCCTACAACCAGCCTTAAAAGCCTTTTTCAATGCATCAAAACAGATGTAGAAGCCAACAAATATTTTCTTGCCACCTTCGAAAGTCTCTTCACTTAGTTTAACAACACATGTACTACTAGGATTAGACCTAAGCATTTCATCTCTATAGTCCAAAATTCTACTATACTCCAGCACATGGTCACCCATTATATCATTCAAAACCTTGTTCCTTGCTTTCCTACAAATTGATCTCCCAACATACAAACCTAATTCTTTTCTTACAAGCTGTTGAAACTTGAATATCCTAATGTTAGGTTGCTTTCTTATTCTGTCTTTGAATTTCTCAGCCAAGTACTTGCTGTTGCACAGTTTGTTCTTGTTAGTAGGTTCATATATGTGTATTGGAATGTACTTCTTCACAACAAAGTCTTTAGTCCCAGAGTCATAGCTAGCAAACAGATGCCAAGGACAACCATCCTTGCACTTACACCTCACCCTTGTTGGTTGATTAACATATTTATCCACAACAACTTTTTCTTCAACAACAAACCTAGTAAGAGCTTCTCTAAACTTGTCAACACTCTCAAATGCAAGACCAAGCTCCCACATAATTTGCTTACAGTTTGGGTCATGTGAGCACCTAATTTTTGACCATGCTTAAATTTTTTCCCACTCATCTCACCAATACCTCACTTCTCACTCCACTTTCTATTGCTCCCCACTCTTTGTCCCCCACTCTTTATTCTCACTTCACTTTTCCTTGTCCCCCATTCTTGTCCTCCATTCACCTCCCTCACTTACAAAAATGCACCATCTCCACAATCCCACAAAAAAAAATACAGCTCGTGCCTCCCTCTTCACTCATCTTCCTCAGCCTCTAAGCTCACCCAAAATGAGCTTTGCAAACCCCTAAAATTCAGTTGAAAAATCCACCCCAAAACAGCCCCAAATATCCATTAAAACTACTCTAAACCCAGCTTGAAACAACCACCAAACAGCCCCTCTAAACTCCAGCAAAATCCAGCAGCTTTTTAGCTGCAAAAAATACCAAAAATTAGCCTCCAAAACAGATCCAGAACAACCCAAAAATGAGCTGGAAATCCACCTCCAAACCAGTCCTCTTCTCAGTCCAATAATGACTCCAAAACAGCCTCGGACAACCTCCTAAAACACAGCAAAAGACCAGCTGTGAACAGCCCCCAAATCCAGCTCTAATATAATCCGAAACTGACCCAAAACAGCCCCAAAATCACTCAAAAATGCAGCTGAAATCACTCTCAAAACACAGCAAAATCAGCACATAAAACAGGACAAAAACAGTCCCAAAACAATCCCATAAACTTTAGCTAAAATCATTCCCAAAATCCAGCTGAAAGCAGCCCAAAACATCACTAAGAGCAATCTTAAAACAGTCCGCAAATCACCACGAAAGCTGTCGTCCTTCATCCAAAACCAGCAGCTCCTTCCTACTCTATTAATCACTACAAAAGAGCCGAGTTCGAGGCGGTTTGGTCGAGGTTCTTTGAGGTTCCGACAAGGCATTTGGTTTCCTATTCGAGGTTCTCATTTGCTTGACGATTCGAGAATATTTGCAACTGTAGAGGTCCGATCTTTTTATCTTGTTTGCTTTGTCTGTTTATTGTTTCATTTAGATGATATGTGCTAATATGCCTTTTGCTTGAATATGTTATTCTCTTTTTAAGCACATAATTTTTCTTAGTTGTTAATTCTTATCGTTAAGTTTATTGGCCTTTGTTGTTGAGTGAGAATCTACAAGGAAAATTTTAGAAAAAAATAAACTTGAAAAAATGAGGATAAGTGATGGTAACCGTAATGCATTTGGTCCTAAGGTTTGGTATTGTAAAATTTATTTTCTTTATCAAAATATTTTAATCAAGTTTAGTTTTTTCCTATCGCTAGTTTTATCATTTGGTCGAATTAATTTCTAACGTTGTCTTAATTATTTTATAAATTTTTTATCAATCCTTCAATAATCCTCTCTTGATTTGTAATCAGTACTAAATAAAATACTTCCATAACTCTTGAGCCTCACAATAATCTTGACTTATGAAATAAATAACTCACAAATCGCTAGTTTGCTTTAGGCGCACTTTTAATTAATTTATCGTGATTATGTATACGTTCGCGTGGCATAATTGTGATTTACAAAATTAAAATCGAAGTACGTGTTCGCGCAACTTTGGCCAAAACAATCTTAATATAATAAAATTCTATTAATTGTGTACACGTACGCATGACATGATTTTGGTACAATAAACAAAATGGATTCATACACGTGATTCGTTTCAAAGATAATTTCATATTTTAATAATTAAAAGCGGATAGATAAAATATGAAAACCAATAAATTACAGTTTATTCAAAATTAATTTAAGCCAAATTATAGTCAATAAAGCGACCGTGCTAAAACCACGGGACTCGAGAAATTCCGTACACCTTCTCCCCGGTCAACAGAATTCCTTACCCAGACTTTATTTTCGCAGACCAATAATAATATAGTTAAATCTTCCTTTGACTAGGGATTCAAATAAAAGGTGACTTGGAACACCCAAAAAATCAATTCCAAGTGGCGACTCTGTAAATAAAATAATTTCTACTCAAGTTTGTCACTTTAATTGGAAAATTCTTTAACCCACAATAATTCAAAACACACATATAATATCTTTTGGGGTAGAAAAAGGGTGTGACAGCTCTGGTGACTCTGCTGAGGACAACTAGAATTCGAGCTTGCACATGTTGACTTTTTATTTGGCTTTATTAATTTTGTATATATTTGTGATTTATTTGGGCCTAATGTGCTACTTGTCTGCTTTTTACCGCGTTGATATTGTTGAACCATACATATAAATTGTCTTCTCACGCACCCCTTCTGAGTCTTCTTGAATGTAAATTGGGCATTTGCTTGACATAACCCGCTTTCTTTGAGATAGCCAGGGTGTTTGTCACTCGGTGAAGGATTTTAGTCACACATATTTTAGGCGAGGATCACCACCAGCTAAGCCGGAAAGCAATGCTACCGGTACGCTGACCCTCATCGGCTCGAGTTGTCCGCTCGAGTAAGCCAGTCTAGATACCTTCTCCACCGGAATTTAAACCTAGAAGAACAAACCTCATGTCGGATATCCCTAGTAGGTTCGCTTTATTTGCATCACGTGTATTTGACTTAGCGGGGTTCGACATAGGACCCGAGTTCTGTTTTAGGATAGGTACCTTGTTTAAATCATTTTGTCATGTTATGTGCTACTTGTTGCATTATTTGGGAGGCTTGCATGTTGACCAAATTTAGCATAAATCAGTTCAATAAACAGGAAAAAGAAAAAAAAAGAAAATTATGTGGTCTAGTGCGTATGATTTTTAAAGATTAATTTTCATAAAAAAAAAAAGAAAGAAAAATAGTTGATTTGACCGAACTACGCGGGTCCGATTCTTACCGGATGTGAGATGCGTAGGCAAACCTCATCGGTTCCGGCCCCCAATTTTCAAAAATCCAAAAAGATATTTTCCTTTAATTCCTTCTTTAGAAGTTTTTTTTTACACCAAAAATCCAAAAATATTTTCTTCTTTTTTAAAAAAAAAAAGTCTTTCTCCCAAAATTTTTTTTAAAAAAAAAATCAAAATCCAAAAAAATATTTTCTTTCTTTTGAAATTTACAAAAAAAAATAATCAAAATTCAAAAATATTTTCTTTCTTCTTTAGAAATCTTTCTTTCACCAATTCCCAAAAAAAATCGAAAAGAAATTGAAAATATTTTCTTTGCTAGGAGATTTTGTCGGATTAATTGTATATGAAAAAAAAAATTAGTTTATCTATTTTATTTCTGATCCACCGAATTATGCGAGTCTGATTCTCACCGGATGTAAGATACGTAGGCAAACCTCATCGGTTCCGGCCCCCAATTATTTTTATAAAACAAAAATCCAAAAAATATTTTCCTTTAATTCCTTCTTTAGGAGCTTTTATTAGAAAATCCCAAACAAATTTAAGAAAAAAGAAAACAAATCAAATCAAAATCCAAGAAAATATTTTCTATTTTTTTTAGAAGTCTTTTTCCCAAAAATTCAAAAAGAAAAATTAAAAAATATAAAAAAAATAGTTTCTTTCTTCTTTAGAAGTATTTCTTTCAAAAATTTTCAAAAACAAATCAAAACCAAAAATCCACAAATATTTTTTTTTCTCTTTAAAAGTCTTTCTTTCGAAAATTCCAAAACAAAAACCGAATGCAAAAATATATATTCTTTTTCTAAACGCTTTCATAGTTTGAGTGTTATAAAAAAGTAAAATAAAAATAAAAATAAAAAGAGTTAGTTTATTTACTCCATTTCTGATTTTTTCCAACAACGCAAGATCTGATTCATGCGGCGTCATGATACATAGGTAATCCCCATCGGATTCAATCATTGACATCAAATAAATCGAGTGAAAAAAAAGAGAAGAAATAAAAGAAACAAAAGAGTGACAAAAATAACAAAGAAAACAAAGAGCGAAAAAAAAGAAAAAAAGAAAGCAAGAGTGAAAAATCCAAAAGGAGAACACTGTGTCTAGTTTGACAAAGAAAATAGCGGAAAGTTTCTGTGAATATGCCATCAAATGGCACGAGCAAGCCACTAGGGTAAAGCCTCCAATGGATGAAGCAGAAATGGTTATGGTCTTCCTATAGGCCCAAAAGGCGGACTACTTCTAGAACATGATGTCCATTAAGGGTAATCCGTTCACCGAGGCTATCAAAATTGGGGAGATAGTCGATAATGATTTTACAATGGGCCGAATCTTGAGTCATGCTGCCTTTAAGGCCACATCACAGATCATTTAGAATTGTTCGGGGGGTTGATGAACATAAACAGGAGGGGAGAGAGACCCATGATGACTTCGAGCTCGAGGGGAGCCCACAGGTCATTCAACCAATCATACATGCTTCCTAAGGTCCCATAATACTATTATCTCCATCAAGATGCTGCTTATGCGGTGGCACCGGCTCCCTATGCAATAATGAACGTGCAACATTACACGTGGCCACAACATTATACACAAAACCGAGCTCCACCTCCCAGAAATGCTTGTCCCTACCAAGCTCTATATAATCCCCAACCAAATGCTCACCAATACAATCCTCGCCCAAGAGAGCCCCTCAGAAGGAATCAGTTCACCCCTATTGGTGAATCATATTCCAGTTTGTTTCAAAAGCTAATCAGGCTAGGTCTGCTGCAGCCAATGGCCCCAAACCGGCCAAACCCCGAGTCCCCCTCGCACCAAGCTGATGCAAGATATGAATACCACTCTGGAGCAGTGGGACATGATACAGAGGACTGTTGGACCCTCAAAAGGGCAGTTGAAGAATTGATGATCCAACATTGAAAGCCACAATAGCTATTGCCGCAACAGAAGAGAAACCTAAAAACGGGCACCAAACCTGAAAAGTTCTCTGTCAGATGGGAGTCTCGGTAGCCGGTCTTGATATTTTTTTTGCGTCCGGATTATTTCAGGGTGTATTCCGGATGTTTTACTTCATTGCTTTATTTTCTGATGTAAACCCTTCTATTTTTAAAAATTTTTTAAAAAAATCTTTCATTTGTCTAGGAATGTCTCTTTTCT